CAGGTGTTTGGAGAAAGCCTGTTGAACGACGCAGTGACTCTGGTGATGTACCGCGCAATTGCTGACGGAGAAAGAGAAACGGGATTTGCTGCTGCTGCTGCTGCTTTTCTCTGCACCTTCGTGGCTTCCACGGCCATTGGGCTGCTCACCGGCGCTGCTGCTGCTCTCGTGCGCTGCTGCTGCTGCTGCTGCTGCTGCTGTGCGGTGCAGCCGCAGCAGCAGCGGTGCTGCTGCTGCTGCTGTTGTGCGCTGCTGCTGCTGCTGCTGCTGTGCGGTGCAGCCGCAGCAGCAGCGGCGCTGCTGCTGCTGCTGTTGTGCGCTGCTGCTGCTGCTGCTGCTGTGCCATGCAGCTGCTCTGGCGACTCTCTGCCGTGTTTTCGTGCTGCTGCTTCTGCTGCTTGTTTCTGCGTGCTGCTGCTGCTGCTGCTGCTGCAGCTGTGCGCTGCTCGTCGTGCTGCTTGCTGCTAAGGCTAATGCTGTGTCCTGCTGCTGCTGCTCATGCTCTTGCTGCTGGCGCCAAGTGTCCGCAGGCTGCTGCTCCCTGTGAAAGCTTGCTGCTGTTGCTGCTGTTGCTGCTTTTGCTGCTGTTGCTGCTGCTCCGCTTGCTGCATTTTGCGGCACAAAGAAGGGCCCCAGCCAGAGCTGAGACGGCCTAGCGCCTCGGCCTCGGAATTTGAGTTCTAGGGTTTAGGGTTTAGGGTTTAGGGTTTAGGGTTTAGGCTTTTGCTCAGGTCTACAAACACATCGACTGGAACCGAGAAGATGCCACTTTGGAAGTGGCGCTGCTGATGCTTTTCCCCTGGTTATGCTTTTCCCCTGGTTCGAGAAGATGCCACTTTGGAAGTGGCGCTGCTGATGCTTTTCCCCTGCTGACGTACGAAACCCCCAAACCCTAAACCCTAAACCCTAAACCCTAGACCCTAGACCGTAAACCCTAAACCCTCGCATCCTCTGAAGGCCCTTTTCAGGGTCTGCGCCGTCCGGCGACGAGCTTCAAAATTATGGATCTGCAGCCTGTAGGGCCTAGGGTCTAGCCCCTAAGCTTAGGGTTTAGGGTTTAGGGTTTAGGGTTTAGGGTTTAGGGTCTGCGGGAGTGCCTTAGGGCTGCGGCTTCAGCGGGATTGTCTCCATTTGCTTCTGTGGGGTGTCGATGGGGAAATATGCTTTTATGAATCTCTCACAAAGAGCGCAAGTTGCTGCGCGATGTAGGTAGACGCTAAACCCTAAACCCTAAACCCTAAACCCTAAACCCTAACTCTATCCTGCGTGTTCGCTCTCCGTGGTTCTCCGGCAAGGCTGCTGTCGTGAGCCTTTGGCTGCCGACGTCTGAGAGTTCCCGCCCAATGTCTTGGGATTCAGGGTTTAGGGGTTAGGGTTTAGGGTTTAGGGTTTAGGGTTTAGGGTTTGCGTCGCAGCGGTTTTTGGGGCGCTCGCGCTGCTGTCGGAATGCCTCTCTTTTGTCTTTCTTGGCCTCGCCCCCTTTTCTTTCGATTTGCTGCCCCTCAAAGAAGCCTTTTTGTTTCTTTCGGGCGGTGCTGCTGCAGTTGTAGCCGCACGGTACCCCAAACCCTAAACCCTAAACCCT